CGAAAGCTGAACAAGCGACCGCCAGTAGCGGTGGTGTCTAGAGAGTGCTTGCAAGTTGTGCAATCCACCAATCAATCCGCGTGATTGCACGCGGCAGCATCATTTTTCGCAGTTTTGACTCCATGCCTGGCTTGGCTCAAAAGGGCTCATGCCCATTGAGCCGGCAAATCATAACCGCCACAGCCACTTATATAGGTGACCAAAGCCAAGCCAGCTCTTCATTTTCTTCAATTGCATGCTGTTCCACTGAGCGGGGCCAGCAACACTAACCACAAAGCAAAAACGCCGGTCGCCAGGCCGATCGGGCCTCCCAAGGGCAGGCAGCCAAGGGTTTGATGCCATGCCGCGCTTGCTTCCATTAATCCGGAAGTGGTTTTTCAGCCGTGTCGACACAGCTGTCAGGACAGTCTTTTTCGATGTGCAGATGTGCAGAACAGCCATTGCTCAGCAGATAGCTGGCTTAGCTGTCAGGAACATTTTCCTTTCATGGCTCCTTATTGTGTTTTCAATTGCAGCAGGGAAGAGGGCCTTGGGTGGCTTGCCTGCAGAACAGTTAAGAACGCACTTGTGAATCAGTCATAGACAGAGGAGGCGTGCCATCGGACACCATAGGGGGTTTCGCAAGGCTATGGACCCGCTCGCCCTGAAAATTGGGCAACCCGAAGGAGGCACCCTGCAGAACCCGCTTTTGCGGAAGATGATGCACCCAGCTTGAAGTGCTTGCAGCTGCTTGGCGAAGCAAGTCTGAAGATCGAATCATGATGAATCATCAGATGCTTCAGACTTGCTGTTTGCATCTCACGTTTGGCATTTTTGTGAGCCAAACCATGCAGTCCCTGTACCTGAATCACAGAGCGGACAGCCCAGCTTTGCATGCCCAAGGCTGACATCATGCCTTGAAGGAAGCATTGAGAAACTCATGCAGCCCTCTAGAGATGGTCAGGGTTGGTGCGGCTTTTGTTCTGTCTGCAAGCGACCTCTAGAGGCACGCCCCCTGTGCGACGTCTTTTGGTCGTCGTCTTTTGGTTGTCAGCCAGGTCCGGGTGGCTGATGGAACCAGGTCCGTGCGGCATGACGTTGGAACGAGCGCACGTGGACGTTATGCTTTCTTGATCTGCTTATGGGGATCGTCAAAGGACTGACCGTGAAACTTCGTCGCATGAACAGTTGAAGTCTAGTTTATGCTGCGGCTGGGCTGGGCCGGCTTCAAACAAATTTAATTTGGACATGCTCTTGGGAGGACTACGTCCTCGGAGCACTGGTCCTAGGTTGGCACAGTTTGCTGCACCAAAGTATGTAACAAGTGCGGCCCGAAACTGCTTCCCGCCCATGCAGGCTTCTCCATCAAGCGGACGAGAACCAAACATTCCCTCGTTTGTTTGCACACTGAAGATGTGTCTCCGGAGCACCTGAAGCTGCTGCAGATCTTCTGGGATTGCCGATTGGTGGAGCACATTGAGGCCCGAACGCCACTGCGTTTGGGTGGCAGACCATCAAACAGAGAGCGAGAGCGAGAGAAATAGAGAGAGAGAGAGAGAGCGCAAGAGATGGAGATGTGGGAGTGTCGGCTTGTACTTGGGGTTGATGTGATTACTGCAAATACATGCAGAAACCCATGTAGTTCATGCACTCCCGGTCTACATGGCGCAGGTGGCGGCTGCCAAGCGGCTGAGCACAGATGATTTCATCGAAGAGTCACGATTCTTCAAAGTCTTCACTAAGCTCAGGGCCTTGGAGCAGGTGGATTTTGAGAAGGTATTGGTCATGGACATTGATTTACTGGTCCCTCGGCAACACCTGAATAGCATTTGAATCTGTAAGCTGAAGGCTGCACAGGCATAGTTCCAAGTTCAGTGAGAGGGAATTGTGAATGTCAGGTCCTGTCAAGCGTTGACAAACTGTTTGAGCTACCAGCCCCGGCGGCCCTAAAACGGGGCATGAACCGGGGCAAATGGCCCTACAAGCATGGACGCACGGCAGCACTAGACACCCCCTCCGCATGTTGGAGTGATGAGACTTTTGTGCTGCCCTATGTTCAAGACGACTAGTAGGGATATGTATATAAGGATTGCATAAAGACCCTACCCACCCAGGAATGTACAAATAGAGGGGCTGCCGATTGCTCTTGTCAAGAGCACCATTTCGGGGGAAGGATCTTTTCTAACCATCGTCATCCCTGGACATGACATCGGCCTCCTTTGTTTGTGTTATCTCATGCATTGGACACACCGGCCTCTTCAAGGGCAGCTCAAAGTGATCACTTTTGGGGGGGATTCTGGTGGGTTGGGATATTGTATTCATTGATTGTCATTGCAGGATTGATTTGTCAATGATCGACTTGTTAGCTTTACAATTATGTTTCTCAATCATCCTTGTAGTTTCTTGTGCTCATTCGGTGACTGTTGATGCTCTCAGTTGTTTGCTTGGAGACTTGAGTGTTGCATCCCGCTATCCATAACTTGAGGTGATGACATTGATGGAACCACATTCTTTTCCGGAAGCGAGCCCGACAAGACCCATTCCTGGGGGCAGGGCACCGGAATCAATGCGGGTGTGATGTTGCTTGCGCCAAACATGGCCGACTTCCTCCAAATGCAGGCTCCGGGGTCACGTAAGGCTTGATGATCTCCATGACTGTGCTGTATGGGAGGCAGAATTGAGGGAGCCATGGCATCCTGGCCATGTCCGTGGAAACGGTCCAGAGCAGGATGGATGTTCGATGCTGGTTATCCGACATTCTTGACTGATGCAGAATATCATTTTTGGTTTCGCCGCCCCCGCTTCAAACATGACTGTTTGGGAAGGACTATTTGAGCCGCTTTTTTGCTGATCGGCCATGGAGGCACATTTCAGCAACTCGCTGGCAATCGGAGTCCTTATAGATGAGTTGTAGCTAATTACTTACTTAGTTATGTCAGTGATGTCCACTGATTTTGAGTCTTTTGTATCGCTAGTGTTGCTTATCGCTAGTGTTGCTTTCCTCTGGGGGAATGTGCACATACACCTACCTGCCCCCAACCAGTTTCGTGGCCTGAGGTGGAAAACAATTTCCAGGTGCACCACATGTTCAATGCTTTGCACCCATGGCTGGGTGATGCCGAACGGCTGGTGGTCTCCTGACGGAAAGGGCATCGGTTTGTCTCACGGGCCGAAGCATTGCTTTTCGGACGTTACGACGTGGACATCTAGCGGGGGGGCATGGCGGACCTGGGAAGGAGATTCCAATAACCACTCCGAAGGCGGTGTCCAATCTGCCTTGTACACCAACATTTGCCAACTACAGCATTAAAACATTTGCCAACTGCAGCATCACATGTGGGATTTGGTCTATGCAGATTGTAGATGCCTATGAGCTATCACAAGCTACAGTATGCGTGTTCCAGTGAGACAAACTCGCCCCGAAAGAGGTCTGTCTCTCGTTCTGTGGCGAGCGGTATCCTTCACATGCAGCCAGATGGAGTACAATATGTACAATGAAAAATTGTTCTGCCTTGCCTGTTTGTTGCAGTTAGTGCAAAACATGTAGGTACCTTTTGGTCTCCCAGTCTAGCCAAATTTTAGTCCTATATAATTAGTGAGTGCGCAAATATATATATATAGATACATATACATACACACATACATACATACATACATACATACATACCTACGTACATACATACATACATACATACATACATACATACATATCTAATATGAGAGAGAGAGAGGGAGTGACACCCAAATCTGCATGCTTCGTTCGCTTTGGCTGTGAAAGATGTCGTGCAGGTGTGTCAAAACTACCAGACCGTCCGCATCGTCCACTTCTCGGGAGATTCTGGAGTGAAGCCTTGGACACGCTGCTTGCAGAAAAGCTTTGGATGGCCCAGCCGAGACCAAGATGAGGAGCATCTTGGCATTCTTGGCACTTGGGTGATTATGGTGACGGTGGAAGAAATTAAAAGGATAATATTACGATGCATAGAAGAAGTGGTGCGACAACAGCGTGGCTTCAAAAAAGCATTTGGCCTGATGAATGTTCTCTCGCAGCTTTCATTCAGGTGTCCCCTTTAGAGGTGGATTCTGAGAACTGTGCGACAATGGGGTGTAGGTCAGACGACGGACCTTCCCAGGTACATGCAGTCGTTTCTCTCAGATCATCATTCCTATTTACTGTGGGTGAAGAAAGATCCAGAGCGGTGGAGCAAGATGGAGAGGCAGGAACTGACTTGAATTGTGCAATTCCCAGGTCCGTGCGCAAATGAATGTGACTCGAAGCATCTCCCAGCACACTCTTTCCTGGCAACAGGAACATGTTTGACGACAGCAGCCTCAGGGGCTTCAGCCTGGGTCAAGATGGCCGGATGCTGATGGCTTAGAAATCAAGCATGACATTCTGGCTCTTGTTTGCAAAGGTGCCATCTACTTTGAAGATGAGAGTGGGAAGGTGCTGAAGGAGACGTCCCAGGAAGCCATCACTGCAGTCATGGATGCCACGAGGTCCAGCTGACTTGATTCAGCTGTCCATGATTTTTTTTCATGTGAGAGTGGGGGACAGCATCCTTCTGCACACACACACACACACACGTGCACGCGCACACGCGCGCACACACACACACACCAACGACACTTCACAATGCTTCATGGCATGGCAAGGTATTTTCTCAAGTCCTGGTTTGACATGCTAGAGGCCGTGAACTTGTGAAAGCTGCTCCGAAAAGAGTCAAGCATCTCCTGGTTGTCGGTGTCAGTTCAGGCTGCCGGAGCTTCGTTGCAGAGGAACTTGGTGGAAGAGTTGATCTCAGACCAAGCTGTTCCTTCAGGCGGACTGCACAGGTTCTTCACATCCTTAGCTTGAGATGACATGTGAGAACTTGAGATGTGCTGCTTCTTGAGCTTGGCTCAAGGCTCAAGCTCAATCATCAGCTTGTGAATATCGCCTATGAAATCTGCAGGCTCAACCCCTCACATAAATACGTTTTATGGCTCCCCTGATGCGGGGGGGTCACGGGGTGATTTTATAGAGAAAAGGGGTTGATTGTGGACACTGCTGTGAAAGATGAGATGAACAGGGAAGATCTATAGGATATGATATGTGACATGTGATGATACGTATGTGTGTTTTTGCTGACGTACAAGTGTATTTCTGAGGTAAGGTATGCTGATTTTATACTGAATTACTGTAGGTTTTTGTAGCAAACCTCATGCCTAGTCATTTTATGCCTTTTTCTATCCTTGAGCTGGTTACCCTGACTGCCATATTGTAACCATAAAGCAACTACATGCTTTAACTATCAACAGGATGCTAGCGCCGGGCAGACCCCGATGTGTGCCGACCACCTCGAGGCCTTTTAGGCCAAGATTAGGATGCTAGAGCGCCATGTTCGGGAGTGTGCTGCACCTGCCGTTCCTTGCGGTGAGTGCTGCCCCAGATGCAACCTGTTCGGTTTTGGAAAAGCTGGATGGTGTGCAGTGCTATGGGCTCGAGAAGGCGAGCACGCAAAGCGAATGCCTCACGCACGGTGTTGATGCCATGCTGCGTGTGATTCTTGGCTCAGGACGACATGCCGGACGCAGAGGCTTGTATGGAAGCTTGCTGCCGCGACACATCTTGCGAGGTACACCCTGATGTTGCGTACAGACCCGAGTCAGCTGCGTCCAACATGTGCTCGTCGCAGGTCTGGCAGTTCAATCCGATGTTTGCTTGCTACCGCGGAAAGTCTAGCGTTTGCATGAGAAGTGGAGAAGCCCAACTGCAGAGGGGGGGAGTTGTGGAGTAGAGTAGGCTCGTAGAACCCCCAAGAAAAATCAAAACTCATACAGCATCCCACACGTCACAACTTTGGATGGTTCACCATGGTTCACCGTGACACCGTTGTGAGAACGGTGTCTCGACGTCGACGCGTTGCACGCTGCACCAGAGACCCCCAGGATCACATGTTCTTCCCAAGCCACACGCGCACACACTTGGGAGAACTCGCATTGGAATTGAAAGCCATTCGCCACACGGCGACCTAGGTAACCAAATCCCTGAGAGAAGCATGTACATAGGGGGTTCTGAGCATCTTGGAGGTCATCGTTGAGGGAGGAGGCCCAAATTGTTCAAAGTTTCAAACTCCAACGCCGGAATTCGCGAAACGACAAGATGACGATGAACGCTCACATTTGCAGAACTCATTTGCACTTCACAGGAGAGTAGGATCACGGCTTGGGCAACAGTTCAAAGAAAGGCAGGTACGTGCAATCTGCCTCCAGATTGCATGTCACAGCAAACTTGAAGTGTCTTCGTTGAGCGGTGACTTCAAGTATGCCCACCACCAAAAGGCCCCCCTTTGAGTCCAATGTTGTTGTGCGATCGAAATTAAAGCGGTTGAAAGCATGCCGGAACCTATTTGCAGTAAAATAGTCATCACTTGAAATAGGAGGCATGCCAGTCAGCCAGCCGCAACTGGGTTTCGGACATCTCGCCGGAATCCTTGTCCAGTGGCTTCAAGGACTCCTTTGCCAGTGGCAGCGTTGGTGAGCGGCTGCGTGGCTCAGCATTTGCTGGAAATGGTATCCACTGGTTTGGCCGCCAACAAAACTATGTGACTGTGCTCAGTTGACTTGACCTGGACCTTGAGTGTGGGCAAGAATGTAGGCATATCATGGCATATCAATTGTGAAGCTGACAGAAGTACAATGACCGAAGAGGGTTCCTGGAGACTTCGAAGAAAGAGAGAAACCATCAGATGTTGAAATTATTTCGAGAGGCATCAGATGTTATAGCTGGGTGTTTTTTTGGAGCGTCAGAACTGATGGGAGCGTGAGACCCAGGCAGAACTGGTGGATTTGGATCCTGAAGCCTTTGGACCTCGGGAGCTGGTCATTCAAGGCCTTTTGTCCGGGCATGCAGAATTTGAGGCTTGACCTCTAAAAAGGGTTCACGTTCAAAGTGTTTGGCTTTGAGGTCACCAAGCATGTTGCCTTGGTTCGCCGGGTTTGCTTGCTCAGTCAGTTGGTGCTTGACACATTGGTTTTGTTTTTTGATGCCTTTTCTGCCCAAGCTCTGCCAACCACCAAAGGTGGGTTCTGGCATGGCACAGGAGTAGGACCCAAGCTTTTACCTGTCCTCTTCCGAGACGAATCGACGGAGCTACGTGCCGCGTGGGCATGGAAGATCTTGCGCAGGTCATTGGAAGGCAATCTGCGGACACGGATGCGCAACATGTTCAACAGCAAGACCTGAACAGGCTTGTTAGCTGGATGACCCGCATGGAGGCAACCTGTTGGCATGTTGCGTTCGCTTCAACATCTGGATGTAGTTGTGGGTGAAATGTGAAACACACAAAACATCACAAAACCATAACCAACTGCTCAGGACGGGCGGACCTGCACCACTTTTTGTATTGTATCTTTTGTCACATCGGGTTCCCACGCGGGTTGGCGGGTGTTGAGGCGACGCGTCCTGAGCTTCTTCGGGCAACTCACTTCTATCGCTTGCTGCAAAACTTTGGGTATGTGATCCGAAAGTGACCTGGATTGCGCAGCCTGAAGTTTGGAGGTTTCCAAATAGGATTTCGTTGTACATAACACACATGTGCGCTCGTTTGATGGACGATGGACATAGCCGACATAGCTCTCTTGCACACTTGCCACTGTAGTGAAGCCGTGCAGGTTCCGGAGGGTAGTTCTGGATTGAAGAAGCAGGGATCCGTGAGGCATGGCCAAGGAGGATCCGTTGCGCCGATGAATGTAAGATGGCTCGACGTTGAAGCAGAGAGTGCAGAAGTATGGTTGAAATATACTGGTGGCAACTGGCCTATCGCCTGAGGGCCAACGCAATGGGGAAACCTTACTGCCGTCATTACTGTCGAGCCCTCATTGGCCCGAGCAGTCGAAACGGTCGTTCACCGACCAAGGAGGATCACTGCTATAAAAGAGGCCACCTTTTCTGCGCCCACCTTCCAGACTTGACACTGAAATGCCGAAGGTGTAGCAGCAGTCCAAGGCTCAACCTGAAGTAACAAGGGCATCGCTACTAGAAACAAAGGGCATTACTAGTAGCAAGAAGTAGCTTCTTGCTACTAGTAATGCCCTTTGTTTCTAGTAGCGATGCCCTTGTTACTAGCTCCTTGCTACCACAATTGGTCCGAAACCTACCCGATTTCCTCTCGGGAGTGGGGGATCTGAATCAGTCTCTCGGCTCTTCGGTGGTTCTTCGGCAGGCTGGTCCTCCTCCCTCTCTTCGCTCGTTGGCCTCCTTAGTAGCTTCTTGCTACCAGGTAATGCCAGGAGCTACTAGTAGCTTCTTGTTACTAGTATTTAGTGATGCCCTTGTTAATATTGTTACTAGGCCTCCTTATACTCGACCCTTTTTTTATACTTTACCGGGCCTTGACCCCTTTTCAACTTTCAGTTCCGCCCATACTCGCCGTGGCGAGGTGGAGCAACATGTTGGGTCAACGGAGGGAGTTAGCTCCACTTCACAACCCGAACGAGGGGTCAAACATGGTCAAACAGTACTGTAACATTTTACTAGCAAAAACTCGTGGAACTTACTCATGATGCGGCGGGGCTAACCCCCACTCACTCGTTTACTGTACCCAACAGGGGTCATGATAGCAGGCCACTGGCAGGCTGCCCAAACAGAACGAGGACCTGTCGGTCCTTGGTCCTTTTTCTCGGTGTTTCACTGAAGGGTCACGTCACTGGAGCTCAGCGAGCTTTGGTGATGCCCGAGAGTGGTGGCACCATGCCCGAGTCTACCATGATCAATGATCTAAAGCTATTTTGTGACACAACTTCGGAGCGCATTGAACACAAGGCATGTGAGCTTTTGCATATAGGTCGTTGGGCTGATGCGCGCGAGCTGATGTTTCTTCTGATGAAATACTTTGTTGAAGCTAGAGTTCTTTGATGTTCTTTGGCCAAAGGAAGCTTTCCTTTTTTTGGTCGCCTTCCGTGTGCATCCTCAGCGCTGCTGCACGAAACGGGGCATACAGTGTGCATTGAAGTGTCTCAGGAACATTTGTTTCATCCTGAGAGTGCTGATGCAAGTCCATAAGTTAAACCACTTACCAGCTGTGCTGGCTCCTTGCAATTGCCATTTGGACAAAAGATGACAACAGGAATCAAAGCACTCTCCGCCAAACCTTCTCCAACAGGATATATATATTATTAAATAACATGTTACATAGTCAGCCTGTGACAATTTATACAGTGGCTGACGACTGTCTTGACAGAATTTGCCATATGTTTGAGCTAGAATATGTCTTCAGTAGGCCATGGATGGGAAACTTATCAGCAGAATCCAACGTTCTAAGCTAGGGCGATTATTGCCAGATTGACTTCCAGTTGTTTTTGTGTCTCTATTTGTTGGATCAACTTCAAAGCTTCCAGATCGATGTGATTCTAGACGCATTCGATTACCTGGGCTGTTGACCGAGCCGTGCGCTATGAGGCCACATGCACGCAGCTTTCATCATTGGAGCTTTATGACGCAAAAGATTGACCAATTTTTATCCCATTCATGGCGAGGGCAGAGTGGAAGAAAGATCATCATGCTTATGATACTCAAGAATGGGTTGCTTGCAACTACCCTGGGCACTTGTTGTGCCGTTATCATGATGCTGCTCTTTCTGTTTGAGATCCTACCTGACTGTCACAAGCTCCAGCTTTTCGACGGTGATGCAGAACTCACATCAGTGTGGTCCTTGCTCACCGGGATGCTGGTCTTTGTGGCTACTTTGCTTTGGCACAGGCCACGGGAAAGCGTCTTCATGGACCAAGTTTGTATTGACCAGGAATCCTCGGTCTCTAAGGCTGAAGGACTCTTGAATAT